GCTTCTTTTCCAAATAGTTTTCCATTGTTTTATGAACAGTGATTGCCAGGATCACTTGGATGACTGGTTGGGACTTGAAGAGGGTAAAGCAGAAGCACACAGCTGCAATCACACAGTGATGTGCAAAACAACACTATGTCAGCACCAAGGACTATATGAGATAAAACCCTCTTAAACTCTTCCCCTCTCCTGATATATCTATACCCATTTGCACTCCTTACCCCTAGCCTCTGTTGCAGCTTTTTCCAGCACCCGCTCCCTGTAAAGTGACCAAGCCAGGAGCAACTACACACGCAGCCTCGGGGACAAAAAGAGCACCAGGCCAGCTACACCAGGGCAAGGTGACAGAAACCCTCCGGAGAAGCCCAGGCTSCGACAGACACAGCAACCTCCTACCTCGCACTGCAATGCCACCTGCTACATGGTCACCTATAACTGTCACGTCCACCCAGAACATATTACAGCCCTTGCATGGATCAAGTAGGAACCTTCATCTTCATTAGAGCAAGCCAAACTGAACCTTGAGAGAAAGGCATTAAAGTTACAGAGGAAAATAACAAATCTTCTCGGACTTCAAGAGAAGAGCAATCCTGGAATAGCTGCCAGTCTCTTCGGAATCACCCACTATTACTGTCCCTCAGGTCAGGCTACCTGCTGGGAACAGGTGAACAAGCTGTCGTAAGGACAGTTGTCCTGAGAAAGGGGCAGCTCTATGACAGCTCTGGAGGCTCAAAGGGCGATTACCCTTTTTAAAAAGTAAATATAATATCTCTTAAAAAGAAGGAATAAAACACTTCTACTGGTCACGTAAAACACCTTATCATGTCCAGAGAAGAAGCTGAAGATAAGRGTGGCAGATGCAGTGTTAAAACGCAATAGTTTCTGTAACCTGGTTYCAGAGTCGCGGGACTGGCAAAGCGCTTTTGCTCCAGCTCTCACACAGCAGTCAGCCTGCACTGCAAAAGAGACAACTAAGCAAGAACTGGCCAGGTCTATGAAATCAAGAGCAGCACATGAGGACTGGGAACATTTACTTGCTTTTTCTCACAATATAAGATCTAGGCCCAAGAAAACAATCACACCATAGGCTTAAAAGAAACAAAAGGGCATGCTTCTTCACACAACACGTGCCCAAAAAGAATAAATTTTTATGCATAATTTAATAGCAAAACTCATTGCTGTAGGATGCTGTAAAAAACAAACGCATGAACAGATCCAAAAAGGGACTAAGAAGTTTTGGTAGACATAYATGGTAAACTTGGTGGGTGACAGACCCAGTGGTCCCGATGCRGCCTCCAGCCCAAACCCCTTGCAGAGAGGACTGTTGGGAACCTGTAACTGAATAAGCCGACTCCAACCCTGCTCTCTGTTATACCCTTCAAGCACCTGCCACTGCCCTCTGTAGAAAAGGGATCCTGACTGAACAGAGCTTTGTTTTGCTCTCTTCATCACCTTTCTCGTGTTTTTTTTTTGTTGTTTTTTTTTTTTTTTTTTACCTCCACATATTAATCATAAGCAGATACTCTGGTGTCAAAACCTACCTACATCCCTCTCCTTCTACTCAGTTCCTCCTCCCTCCAACAAACTACACCCAGGTCTGGGATGCGCTTCCAAACACAGCAGTGCTGGTGCTTCCAGAGGCCACTGTGCTTCACTCCCAAGCTCCRGGCTGCCCAGGAGACACAACCTCAGCCCAGCACAGCGCTGGCTCCGACGCTCCTGCGAGGAGCTGCTCAGGGAGGGGACATTCAGCTTCACCGACTCCATCGCTAACCCAAGCAGGAGCTGGAAARACAAACCACAGGGGCTCCCGAAAGAGCAAAGGAAGCATGAACAAGAGCTGATCCTTGTTTCAGACTAAGCACTAAAGATTTTACCCCGGCTACCAGGCAATACTCGTGGGGCAGGAGCTCGGTTCTAGCTTGTTAGTTGCAGCAGCTTTCTTAGCCTCCTAAATCCTGCCCACAGCCGCTTGCTTTCTGCACGCTTTGCTCCACTGCTGCCCCTCTCTCCAGGCATTAAGCACTCTGCTATTGCAGTCCTGAGCACCCAGCAAAGAGCACACAGCTCTGGTCCTGCACCTCAGCCCTAACCCTACAGCATTCTTGCTCATCTACACGACAGGCACACCAGGCAAAGTGGCAGACGGGATGGTGACTCTCCGTTGGGATGGTTTAGGGGGATATCTGAGATGCTCCGCATTCAAATCCAGCTTCCTCCGCTCTGCAAAGCCCTCCCAGGATGCTCAGCTAATCRAAGTGAAGAACATGATAAACTCCCTGCCCCAAGACAGCTCCATGCTGACAGTTCACTAGAGATACAAGATCGCTCAGTGACATTAAAAATGTCAGCAAGCACCAATCAGGCTTGATGGAAAGGCTGCATTAGCAGGCGGGGGCATGGGCAAGGTAAAACTTCCACAAACTCTGCCAAGTGCATTTTATCCTTTCATCATCCCTGGGAGGCTCCTTCACAGATCCCAACATACTGGTGGCCACCATCAGCACCCAGAGCAACCAAGTCAGGTGTGGAGCTCCCCACCACCACCACATCAATCCAGACAGGTTTTCCAGGGCACTCCAGCAGTGGTGACCAGCAGGGACCTGGGATGCTGGTATTCAGCCTGCACAGGAGGCAAGTTGTGGAAATTCAGAAGGAGGTTGAGGACAAAGGGTGTTTGTCTGCACCGTTCCCGCAGTACAGACATGACAAGGGAATGAGTTCATCAGACAAGGAAGCCCGAGAATGGCTCTCATAATCTCCAGGGACTGCTTAGCTCTAGGGGTTCTCTAGCAGAGGCAGTGCAGATAAGAACAGTTTCTTTAAATTACATAAGATATAATAAAAAAGGAGAGCTAAGGGCTGTGCATGGGGAAGGGGAATCTGGAGCGTATCTTGCTACCGATGCACTACACACAGTGCACAAACACAAGCCTCCTCCCTGCTGCCTTCCCTGTGTAGGAATGATCCCGTGTTTCTTCCAGCACACAGTCCCACTCTTTGATGGGGCTACTATTCTGCAGGATATTGCTCTCATCAGACACACCATTTAAATATCAAATAAACTCTTTTCTTACATCAGAACAACCCAAGCCTCTGCCATTAGCCATGACCCAGAAATGAGCAGCTTCACACAGAGCCCAACACCTTCATGGATCAGGTCAGAGGCAGACTCAACCTGGGAGGTATTTCTAAGCATGGAATTTGCCAGAGGGAGGGGAAAAGGGGATGTCTGAGCTATGATGGGAAGAGCAGGAGGGCTCTTTACCTGTCCATTCTGATTTGTCTCATACTAGTAGATCAAAAGTCAAGAGGGACTGAGACCTCACTGAGTCTCACTGCTCACAATTATTCATCTAGGCTGGAAATCCTCTCTCATAAAAATGCACAGGCAGCTCCCCCACAAGCATCCCCAGACAGGGGGCAGCAAGTGGCAGAGGGAGCTCCTCACTGCAGGGTGAGAGCTCCTCACCCCAAGGCAGGCAGCTCTTCATCACAGTAGGAAGAGGTCTCCTCCTCTTCCCACTTCAGCCCTTGGTCCTTCACTGATGCTCCCCAGCCCTCAAATTAATCCCACACTAGTTGCTGATGCACCACACACAAATATTAGTCTTGAAAAGCAGCCCCTTGCCTATCTGCCTAACTGTATTATGACAAATCCCAGCTCCCAACATGCTAAATCCAAGAACTACAGGAACGAGCCCATTCATCCTGGGGCCAGGAGGAAAAACACGGTTGGATCAACCTACTTCTTAGTAAACACCAAGGTACATGGGGATTTTTTATTATTATTATTATTATTTTGCAGCCATCAACCTGCTGGTTATATAGCTGCTATCCATTCACCAGAAGTTTAGTGAACTTCAAATGGCGATCATTAATGGTCACTGAACTGCAGAATGCCCCAATGTGCCTTCAGATTTCATTTACCAAGGACCAGCAATCAGCCAAAAGATTTGCTCTGACAGCAGGGAAATACAAGACCCCTTGACAAGTTCAGTGGGGAATGTGCTGCCAGCAGCCCTTGTTAGCTGCACGTTCTACCCTATTTGACGGAACRGATCATGCAAATTGTCCTTCTGCGGCCGCTCGGCGCGTCACTCATGTTTCCATTTAAAACAATACACAAATAAAAGAACAACAGAAAAGCCCACAAGTACAAGGACTTGTTTATAAGCAAATATCACTTCCCAAGACCCTCCTAATTATCAGGAAAAGGTGCAGAAACTCAAACAAACCATTAAATTGGCTGGGGGAGGGGATCCATACTCATGCAGAGGCTTAGCCAGAAGGGCCACCCCCATTTCTCCCACACACAGTTCCCAGGGCCCCACAGTGTCACTGTTTGCAGTGCTGCTAGTTGTATTTTCTTGCCATTTAGGGCATCACCACAACTTTCAGTGCAGATGGAGCCAGGAGAGCTGCTGGACACATGGCAGGCTGCTCTAGAGCCAGCGAGAGATGGTGCAGGGCACAATGAGATGCAGCAAAGTGCAAAGAATCTTTTGCAAAGCCAACACAGGTTCCCCAGGTGGAAGTATTGCTGAGACCGTTCCCTTTCTCCACAGCATAAGGGGAAACGCTGGCTTTTAACCTGGGGTAATTCCAGGTGTTTTCCAAGCAGAATTCAATGCGAAGGGAACTGTACTCCTCAGAGCCTTAAACTGCTGGAAAACGGAGAGTCAGCAAGACAGGGACAACATAGCCTTTGCTGAAGAGGGGCCTCACAGCGTCCTGCTATTGTGCCGAGACACCGCACTGTGCTGGCCACAATGGGATTCTCCCCAGCTGCAGAACTCATCCCATCAGGTACAGGAAGACTCTATTAGAGGAGATACAATAGGGAGCCAGAGGACTCTCTCAGCCCGGCTTCTGAGAAAATAACTCATTTCAATGCAAAACAGCAGTAGTTATTAGACACCTCCTTAAAGAGGAAAGGAAAAGAGAAAGAGGASGGGGGGAGAGGGAAATGGGGACCATTGCAGTTTGCACAAAAGTACCTTTTTCAGATTAATCCACTGTTTGAAGTAATCAGCAACCGGCAGCCCTAAGTACTGGCATTGTCCTGGTAACCTGTAAGAGAGAAGAGAGAGCAGGTTTGATTCAATTACTGTGTCCTGACAACACAAACTGTTTTATTAAGCGCATGTGGTGTCGAGATGGAAGAGACCCTGAGAGTGCGGCAACATGCTGCGCATCAGAGGGATCCTCAGCTCTTGGCAAAGCCAAAAAATCCACAAACACAAAACTTGGCCGAAATCTTAGGCACATCCAGCTCCCTCCAGGCTGCTGGACACCTTCCTGGAGGCTGAATATTTAAATGGGGACCGTGTGTTACAACAGCGTGGAGTCGCCCTCCCCGGCAGCCAGCTTGTAACAGGACCAGAGCATCCAAACTGTCCCTAACCCATCATAACCCCCTGCAAAACCCTCCTGCTCACCAGGCAGACACAAGGATTGACCCAGGACACAACAGAGCAATTCACCTGAGATATCTTGTTGCTTTTTCATTTGGCCATCATGTATAAAATGCTGAGTGAGACATGAGGGAAGGAAGGTGGCAATGCACCCATTTTTGAGTGGCAATGCTGCAGAAACACCATTTTTTTGAGGGTGCTTAGAAAGCAGAGGCTGCTTTCCAAGCAGCTGCTGAGAAGAGGAGGGCAGCCGCGCTCTGAAGAAGCCAGAAGCAGCTTGGTGTCTCAGTAAGGCTGAGAGCGCCAGCATTCAGAGTTGTCAGCACGCATTAAACCTCTCCTCCTACAGCAAGCAAGCAAAACAGGGCTTGCAAAATAAATTTCTATTGAAAAAGGAGGAGGGCTGCCCAAAAGGACAAGAGGAGCCCTGGATTTTGAAGCTGCTTCTCCCCCAGCCCCAGGGTATTTGCAGGGTAGCTGTGCAACGTCTCTCTGTCAGGAGACGAGCAGAAATGCTCCAGTGGAGCCAGTGCTGGCAGAGGAGTTATGGGAGTCTTCCCCAGCCAGTTTGATCTGATCAAGAGTAATTGATGGATCTCGTTCGTTCATGTACTGCCGAGCATGCCTGGGGCACTGGGCACGAGATCTTTAACTGAAGGAAAGGAACATCCCAAATAAATATGTCAACTAAATAAATGACTAAATTAGACCTGGTTGTATTGTCTGTGTTAAAAGGCACAAGCCCAGGAATTGGCCTTTGAAACTGGAGGGTGGCAACCTCACAGCTTCCTTGGACATTTTGGGGCTTTCAGGGAGACTTCGCAGGGAAGAAAGGAAGAGCTGTGCCAGCATCACCTGGCCAAACATGCCAGCACAGACCCCGTCCCAGGCAAAATCTCCCTCTTTGTGTAACTAGAAGAGTGGATAATCCAGACAGGGTTCAGCTTTAAGGCTGCAATTCAGGAAAGCTTTGCTCCGGTGTAAGCACAAACCCAGCCTTGAGCCAGGCTTCACCTGCAGCACCCATGCATAACGCTGAGCTCAGCTCCAAGCCCCCCTCAACAGGGCAGCACCTCTTCACATCTATAAGCAGTTCTGCTTGTCAAGGGAGATGAGAAGTACTGCAGTACTCAAGGAAGAGTCCTGCTTTGGTTCTGCCTCCACTTTAGTGGAAAGAAAAAGAAGTCAAGAAATACACGCAGAGTTATGCAGCCCACAGAGCCAGCTCTCAATGACAGCCCTACTTAGATTAAGGAAAGAATAGACTCTCTGTGCCAAAACCAAATGCATGATCCCGAACAGAAGCACACAGCATCATTTAGGAGTGATAATTTAACTCATACAAAGACACCTGTATCGAGCTCCAGAGGAACCTCTGCAAGGAGGAAGCCTGGCAAGAGAAGGAGCTTGCAAACAGGACTGAGACAGTTTGCAGAGTGTGGTGTGACAGCATGTTCCCCTCCCTGGGCATGGCCATGTGAGGCTGGCCCCATCCCTCTGAAATAAACCACCTGGAGTCACTCCCTGCAAATGCATAAGGGAGCTGCCACATAAAACCAAGCCTGACCCACGCATTTTCCAGCCATTACACATATGTCCATGACATCCCAGAGCTGAACAGACCTTACCAGCCCCAACCAGTGTCCTAACAAAGCTAATCCACTAGGGAAGCTGCTTTCTACTAGTGCCGAAAAGAAAAAGATCAAAAGGAAAAGGCATCATCTGAAACAAATGAACAGTTTAATATCACCATATGATCAGCTCGACCTCTTAGACCACTCGCATTTGGCTAGAGAGGATCACGACAGGAGTTTACAAAAGGGTTGTTACTGCAAGTGGGGGAGTCTCCTCCCAACTTCAATAACTTCATCAATAATAAACTTCATTAATATAGGTCTCTGTGTAGCTCCAATTAGAGAGATATTAATAGTCTCACCTACCATTTGGACAGGGCCCAGGACAAGCRAGTACAGCATCATTCTTGTTAGTCCAACAAATTGACAACTAACCTCACCAGCACAATGAACGACATCTAAACTGCTTCCATCCCTGTGGGACCAACGGCCCGGGAACCAGGAGAGCCTGGCTCTGCTTCCACCCTGAGACTCACGGGAGCACGCCTTGGGCACCGCACCGGGGATCTTTAATTGGAGAAAATAAATGTTCCAAATAAATATGTCAACTAAATGAATGACCCATTTTTGCAAGACGACACCAGAAGCTGTCTGTGGAGCTGTGACCTCGGGACATTCCCTTCCCCCTCCGCACCCGTGCTCCCCTCGTTTCACGTTAGCACCGGAAACACTTCCCAGGGAAGCTGTTGAGCACTGGAATATCTGCACATGTGCTGCAGCCTGGATGGGCTCCCTGCAGCAGGAGCACAGCTGAAATGCACCTTTCCATTCCTTGAGGTGAAAAACAGCCCCTCTGTGAGCCTGTGTTTAGTGAAGGAAGGTCCTACGGTTGTGGTCCACCCTGGGTGCACAACACGCCGAGCACACACAGGCACTGGGGCTCTCACTGCACACAAATCGGGTCTCTGTGCGGCCATGGGAAGGAACACACATCTCTGCAGCCTCTTCCTCAGCTCCAAGGCTTGTACCTGCACAATTCCAGACCTGTTTGAGCAGGAAGGAGGTTCTCCAAGGTCTTTCCCAAGGTGGAGGAAACAGGGCTCTTCCCATTGGCAACAAAACTRCATAGGCCCTTACAGAAGTATCTCTGTTTACCAGGGTCACCACTCACTGGAGCAGCTCGCGGGGAAATGTGCTCTTCRTAGCCGTAAGGCTCCTCACTTCGGCAGAATTTAACCTCTATCACGGGGGAAAGCTTTGAGCAAAGACTCCAGATCTGGCCCTCTCTCTGGTAGGGGAAAAAAGAGTGAGTGGCCCTTCAGCAACATCCCGGGACCCTTCCAGCTTGTGGCCTGGGTCTCCCAAACAGGGGAGCTCCCACTTCTGTGGGAAGGAAGGTGGCTCTCCAAGCACCCCTGCAGCCGTGCTTCAGCGATGCCTGCAGCTGGTACAGGGGAACTCAAAACACTGTGGGGCTTTCCAGCCTCCCAGGGCAGCTTTGGCACCGTGTGTCCTTTCCGCAGCAGAGATGGCAGCACACAACCTCCGCCCGCAAAACCCGCGTCCCTTCGGACTCTCCTGGGACTGCGGTCGGCAGCGACAGCTACGCACCGTTCTCAGAGGGCTCCATCACCCCGGGCTCCATTTTCCAGGCAGCCCCGCTCCTCCGTCGGCGGCAGGGGAAATGGGCCTTGGAGATGAACGAGATGCAAATAGGAGGCGAGGTCACATGGCTGCATTTCTCCCGTTGGAGGCAGCGCTCTCMAAGCCGCTAAGACGCGCACAGCTCGGCGGTGATAAACGGCCCTGCTTTAGTTATCACTTCCCTTAAGTTAAGGAGAGCAGCCTAGTGATGGATGGGCTGGAATTCGGTTATCAGGGAAGGCTGTCAGCCAGAGTTGCCTATCTCCACACACATTTAGCACGGCATCATTATGCGATGGCATGGAGTTAAAATATGACCAAGGGTATTGAAAGAAAGAAAGAATGGGATTAAAAAAAAAAAAAAGGCAAATTGAGCAACAATAAAGGAGCGTGAGGCGAGAACGTTATCGTACTAGTGACACCTTTTATCTCGGGCTGGTTAGCTAGAGCAGGGCACAAATTGGTCCTTCCTCCACTATTGTATCCTCTTGTACAAACAGAGGCAGATAAAATGTGTCACCAGCGCGATAGCATATCAATTTAACCCTAATTATCCAGGGGGTCAAGTTAAGAAATGGGGGTTTCTCATTTCAACAGGTCCCTCCATCTCAGCTCGGAGCAACCCCATTAATATGGAAGGGGGAGGGACAGCCATAATTGATTTCCATCACTCAGGTGGTCCTGGTGTATAAAAAATTAATGCCTGATTCTCCCAACTAATCAGAGCTGGTTAATGTCCATCTGCTTCTGGGTTCAGAGTGTCAGCAGACAAAGAAATTGGGCCACTTTCTCCCCACTGCATGTACTGATATCGAGCTGGTTAACAGAACAAGTCCCTCTTCAGGAAAGATAAAGAGACATTAAATCTTGATATTCATAGACCTGGTCTCAGCCTTCAGAAAAAGAAGGCAGGTACTAGAGATCTTGAGTTGTAATAGATACAGATACATTTTGATTGTGCCCYGGCCAACCCCACAGCACTGGGCCGTCAAGGAGAGGGTGGGCACCYCCAGCCCCTTTCCACAGCCTCCCACCCTGGAAACCCAGTCGCATCCTCTCCGTGGCTGGAGGAGGGTGGCACAGCCATATGGATGCAGCAACAGCAGGAGCCACAAGGTGGGAGCCCATGGAAAGAGCTGGAGATGCCTCCCAGCCCTGCACCGCTAGGCAAGCAGGGCCTGAACGGTCCCTCGGCACAGGGAGCCAGAGCAGGATCTCTGCCAGGTGCTCTCCTATCAGACGAAGAGGGAGCAATTTCTCTGGAGACTCTGGAAAGCTGAAGAAAGCTTGGATGCCTTCTCCTAGCACAGGAAGCTGGCAAGGGAGGAACACCCACATGCTGAGGCACACGAGATGCTTTATCAGAGAAACAGAGCTGCGGAAGGCAAACTCACGTCAGTCAGCTCTGAATCCTGCATCGGCTGAAGGAAAGGCAGGA